AAAACTTTCATAATAATCCATGTTGGACAGCAATAAAGAGTAGCTAGACTTAGAAAATATTGGGCAATATTCCATGGCCTAGGAAAATGTGGCTTCCATAATGCACAAAGATAGTGAAAAGCTATCCTCTAATAAATCAGCTTCTCCCTTCTTGTTTCAACCTCCAACTTTATAGTGTCATCCTGGCAGGTTTTGAATGATAGATGGTGTGAACAGTCTGGCCCACCCAGGACAGAGAGTGCTTGGCAGGCTCCCCAGAGTAGTCAAGTTTTACTCAGATCTAATCAGAGAAGTCTCCTTCCAACCCAGAAGCATAAGCCAAAAAAGGAAAACAAAATCTCTCAGCTATGCTTGGTATCCAAAGGGATAAGGAGCTGTTTTTCTTGGAAGAAATTTTTGTTTTCCTTTATACCTTGGGTTGTCCCTGCCTCAGTCCCTCCTCCCCTTTCATTTCGAGACTGGTGATTAGTTTCTGACGAATACATGCAAGTTTTACCTTCTGAGAGGTGGAAGAAAGAATAAGGGGAAATTAAAAAATGTTTACATCAGACTTCAACCTTATAAACTGCACCACAGAGACTTTTGAAGCTAAGATTTTATATGAATTTTCCAAAGTAAAATACATGCCTTGGTTCCTGCCTTATCCCGAGGTCTTTAGCAGAGTATTTGGCACATAGTAAGTGTTAAATAAATATCCACTGAATGACTGAATGAATGATGGGTGGGTTAATCATGGAATACACAGAAAAAGAAGTTCTTGGGGGAAAATTGGTACTGTCCCAGGAAAGTGAGAAAACTTCAACTTACCTAGGAATTAATGTCATTTGCTTTGGAAAATTTGGTTTTTGAAAGTCATTCTACCTACACATTCAGAAATTACGTTTGGCTGTTAAAACACAGACTTATTAGCAAATTAGCAAGTAAAATCTTCTCATTAGCTACTTTTGCATTTGCTAACAGATAAAGGGGGAGAGGAGTATTTCAAAGGAAATAATTCAAAATCTTCATTTTTTTTTTTGGTAAACTTTGCCCCTTAGCCGGGGAGAATTTAGCCCAGGATCCTGACAACCCGAATGTAGGTTTGCTCTGCAAACTCCACCTTGGCGAAATACAGCCTCCCGCTTATGACCCTGACGTGCTCCTAACAAACCCACCTTACCACAAAGTGGCAACCTCATTACCGCTCTCCGGGGAGACACTGGTTTATGCATGGCCCAGTTTTCTTTGGGTTCCTAAATGTTCCCCTGTTTTCTCTTCCTGATTAATTCTCTCAGTGTGTCCGTGTATGTGCAAATTATTTCCACTAGAACCAAAATTTGTTCAAAGAGGCACATCTCTCCCGTTATCCAGCATTATACATAAAAATCAGGAGGGAACTGGGGGATGAGACTGTGCTATCCCACGTGGCGAGGGCAGATTTTCTTTCTTTCCCAATTTATTCACCAGGGGCCCGGGTTGTTGCTGTTTCTGTTTATTTTCAAGGTGTGAAAAGGACATTGACGAGTGTGCCTCTGACCCGTGCTTCAACGGGGGCCTGTGCCAGAACTTCCCCAACGGGTTCCGGTGCCTCTGTGATGTGGCCTTCGCTGGCGAGCGCTGCGAGCTGGACGTAAGCGGCCTCTCCTTCTATGTCTCGCTCTTACTCTGGCAGAATTTCTTTCAGCTCCTTTCTTACCTCATTCTGCGCATGAATGACGAGCCGGTTGTTGAGTGGGGTGAGCAGGAAGGCTATTGACATAGATTCGAACACTCCCCAGTGAAAAAGCCATCCAATTTCAAGGTATGCCTCGAATCATTTTTGACCTCTGGAAAAAAAGGAAGGGACGTAAAAATCATCTTGAAAATTAAAATAATCCAAGGCCGATTATAAGTATAGGACCCACCCTGGGTGTGGAGATAAAGTGTTTGCCAACATTAGCTTTAAGGATGAACAGAATTTGCTCCAGGTAACGAGAAATAATGCGCTTTTGACGTCTATATTTAAATGACCACTGCAATGAAGGAACAATTGTCTTCCCGCTCCACGTTGTAATTTGTGCTCGTCACTATGATTCTATTTTCATTTCTGTTTTTTCTTCTCATCTGTTATTTAGGACATGAAAATTTGGAAGTTACTGGTCAAACTTGCTGGTTATACTGACCTGTTTTCAGACAAAGCTATTTCATTGAATCTTTGCCTGTTCTCTGATAGGCCATAAGTATATAAAGAGAAGGCAGGGAATTCTGTCAGGTCCCTTAAAAGGTAGGAAGAGAATTATCTGGTATCCAGACTCAAATTATCCTTCACCAATGTAATGTTTTGATTCCAAAAACCCATCTCGTTCAAAGAAAACAATAATCTTTTTTCTGTTAATATGTTTCTGTGATACTTCCCCCTTTTTCACAAATAGAAACCTTTTTTTAATTGCTTACAAATTTATGAGTTTGTCTACTTCCATGTTAAACAGACCAAAATCAGTTGTTTTTCAGTGCACACTTGATAATAATAAGTACTGTAGTTTACACGTGCACCAGGAAGTAGACATCATAAAGCTGGGATTTTCCTACAGCCATGTTTACCTGAAATTTGCAAGTACATTTATACTCCTCAAGCATCTTTCTGAAAAAAATTATAAAAGCACAGTACCATTATAATCAAAATCTATTTGGGATTATGATTTTTTTTTAAATAAATGTATACCTCAAATGATGGCTCTCTAAAGTAAATTAGTAAGATACGAAATTAGTATATTCTTAATGATACAGATTATAGACATTATAAAATCGTAATTAGAAAAGACTTCATCTGCTAATGTTTTTATTGTTTCTACTGGCTTGTTATCATTTACCTTCGTGTGGATCTATCCTTCCAAATGAGGCGTTACTTGTCTTCATGAAAACAACTTGATCACATGAATTAATTCCAAAAACAAGTAAAATTATAATCACCGGCCAGTGTCATTTTGTCAATGCATCTGTGTCTCTAGGAGCTGCCCTGGTTGAAAGTTTGAGGCTGATTTTTCACTGGATCATATCCCATGCTCATTTAATACCAATTGTTTTAAGAAAATTGTTCTTCTGTGGAAATGACCAACATAAATTTAAATATACCGTCCAAACAAAGGAGGCCAAAATAGTCTACTGAAAAGCAAAGGAAATGGATTTTATTTTATTTGACAATAGTAATAGAACATTTTACGTATCAAATTCATATCCCTTGGAGTCCTGGCAGCCATTTCAAACGGGGATCAACTGATTTTGAATCTCCCTTTCTACTCTTCCTTTTCCCTTACATCCAAGGCTGCAGGCACCATGCTGCCTCTTCAGATGATCTGTTCCAAAGTTAGATTTTGTGACAAGCGTCTTATCGCTATTTATAGTCACAAGTATTTCAATGAGCATAACATAGGTTATAGCTGAAGACCATGAGTGTAGTTTTCACATTTACTCCTCTCTAGACGTATCCGTACACACAGGTCATTCGGAATGAAACGTGTGCCCTACCAAATACATTTGAGAAATACTTCTGATCCTCTCTGTACAATTCTGCTGTCTCTTTTGTCACTGCAATTGTCAATTGGTTTCTGGTTTTCTAAATGTCTTGTTGTCATGAGATATCTGACTGAAAAAAAAAAAGCCTGTCCCCTTTCTTTTTGTTCTTCTGTATTTTCAGCTGCTTTGTGTGTGACTGCGACTTTTACATAGTTGCCCAGAAAAATAAAACCTTCATTTCTGTATCTTCTATTTCTCATCCTCTGATGGCACCTATCTTCATTTGCCTGACTATGTCGTTTCCCACAGTAAAATGTGCACCAGACAGGTGCACTGATGCACACACACCCCACACACAAACCCACACACACACACCTCACACATATACACCACACCCCACACACAATGAACACACAGAGCCACTGGTGCTGATCTTCCTGAATCAGAATCTTTTTCCCATTTGTGTCATTGCAAGTAAACACCTGTGGTGTCAAGGTCAATGTCTCCTATACTACCCTTCTCTGCCAAGCACTCCTCCAGCAGGCACTCCAGAACTATTGTTCCTACTGTTGGTTTACGCCGTCCCTGCCCAAACGAGCCATAGTTCAACCTAGCTCTAAGGGGTCTGTTGCCTAAGTAACATACATCCACACAAAGTCCTCTGGAGTAAACTTCTAAAACATAGCCTGTATTTACTTGAATAAAAACTCATTTCATTTTTCTCAATTTCAATTCAACACTTAAACTAATGGGGCTGTGTCTCTGCTTTTGGC